CATGTTAGACATTCTGAGTGCAAGACATTTACGCCACCAAGACCAAAGACTGAATGCGTATCTCTGATGAGATGCGTTTCACGGTTCCACGCTTGTTCCGTTGCAGGTTCGGAAATCTTTTTTGGATAGTTTGGTTTTCAGACATCGGCAAGGAAGAGTTATAAAATCCTATAGAAGTCCAACTCGGATGCAGCTTCATATCAAGATTTCTTCTCTCGTTGCCTTAGTTGTCCTATCAGCTTCTTTGGTCCTCTCTGAGGCAAACTCCCTCCCCCCTCTAAAGCTATTCAAATGGCACACTGCAGGATTATCCCTCAGCCTCTGAGTTATGCTGGTTTGGTCCGACTTAAAGTCCGCTCTAGGTTTGCTTTGGCCACAGAGACTGAAACTGGGGGGGGAGGAAGAAATGATCAGATTAATTTGAAGTCAAAAAGAGAGAGTTGGATTGCTAATTTTTACATCCTCGAGGAAGCTGTTTGAGGATTTTATTTACTTTATTTATTTTTTAAATAATGGAGCCAACAGTGGTAAGTACATGTAGAATAAAGACTCAGTGTGGTCAAATGTGCAAAAGTTTGATTTTAGCCGATAATTCTCCTGTGTTTTTAACATCCACACAGCCTCTGCATTCACAACAGGCTCTTAGCAGACTTAGAAGATTTAAGATTACAAAAGGGATTGCTTTGTCAGCAAGGATTTTGGACAGTGGGCGGATTGTTAGAAGGATCCAAATGTTTTTTGGGCCAGAACAGCTGTTATTTAAATATTTCATACCTGGATTAAGCGCAATATCTTTTTTTTTTTTTTTTTTTTTTTTACAGTTCCCAATGGACTACTAAGTCGTATTCTGTTTTTACGATGACTTCTTCACTCACCAGGAAATGTCTAGGGGAATGTGAGGTGTTTTCACAGCCATTGAGGTGTATTGACCTCAATAAGAGCAGAATAAACCCCTCTGTCTCTTGGGTCACACAGCAGCCTCCCACAATATACCAAAACTGTGACTTTTCAGTGAAGTATTTTTCTCTTGGCTCGATAAGCCAAGGCCATGCTGTCCTTAAACAGGAAGCCACTTGTCCTCTCTTTACAAATTCTCACAAACAGTAAAGTGTCATAGGCAAAACTAGAAATGTCTTTTTTTTTTTTTTAATTCAAGCTTAAATCAGCTAGATAATGTGTGTGGAAACATCAAAAAGCAAGAAATGTGTTCAAAATTCCTTTTCCAAACATCAGCATTGTGTTAACCAGCCCGGATTGTGTGCATTTTAGCCCATACAAAGCTTATATTTGGATTCAGGCTTTGTGCCAGAGCCTAACAGGCTTTGATGTTAATAGGTATTGTTGTCACGAATGCTTGAGCTTATTGGACGCCTTGGCTGATGGACAAGTAGATGAACCTCGGAGGGTAGCCGCCGGGATTAAGACCTGAGACTTTGCGCCTGCTTAACTTTTTCGATGCATGAGGCTGGATTGCATCATTTATTTGGCAGGCACATTTGCTGGTTCTCCCCTTCCCCCACGCTGTTAGGGAACTGCAGCAAAGAGCGGCAACTTTGGGGGTCTTGAAGTCTCCATAACAACCATGTATGCATGCACCATGTATATGTCAATCAGTTTACAGGGATTGGTGCATCCTGTCCTGCAATCACAAATGTAAACATGCAGACGTTGCTGAACTATGTTCAGACTTTAACTGAAATGTGCTTTGCTCAGATAAGACTAAGACCGTGTTGTTTGGCAACAAAGGAGAACTGGTAGGCAGACTCAAAATCAACGTTCTTTAGTTGGGATCTCAGCCCCCTGACATAAATGCAGTGTGAGGAAATCATACGAGGATTCTGGATTGGAGGGATGATCCAAAATTTCTCTCTTTGTATGCTTCATTTCTATGAGATTGTATTTGATATGAGTTGGTGTTGTCCTGCTGGCATTAGGAGTTTGCACAAAGTATTTTTACCACAGAGGTATTGAGAGCCTTGTTTTTTCTCCCCTCAGTGAATAATTGTGCTAAATTTCAAGGTTGCATTTTTCTTAAAGTGTCTGTGGGGAATTATACTACCGCAATAGACAACTCACTCTGATGCTATTTTAAGGGTTAAAACACATATTTACTAAGGACGACAAGAAATTTGTCTGTGTCTGTAAATTACCATAACTTAAAAGCACAAGATTTAAGTGTATAAGACTAAATTAATGCAAAATACTGACCTCTGAATGAACATTTTACACACTCATTTGATGACATTTCTGGAAAAAAAGAAAAAAGAAAGTTCTATATTGTTCATATTTGTATTTTAAGTTGCATATATTTTTTCCTTACAATACTAATCACTGTGGTTTTACGCCTACGTATGTTGGCTCCTTACTGCATTGTCACATTCAGTCATAAGAATTTGGTGTGGGTGTAAAAAAAAAAAACAATGTTCTTATATAGCCCCTGGACTTTTTACCTGCACTGATGTTTTGATGATACACAACGTTCCTGACATTACAGGGAGCTAAGAGTCGGGCTAAGAGAGTAAAGCAGAATAAGGAAGACCGAAAAGGGATGAAAGAGTTTCTCTGAAAATAATAAAAATCCTTTCCTGGCACTTCCACTGTGAACTGAACAGCACAAATTGGTTCTGATTCATACCCGCACAGTAAAACCTCAGAGTCATGAAAAGCTGCTGTGGTGATTTGAACCAGCCCATAGTGCACTCTTGATGATAGCCAGTGAAGAAAAGCCATGGATGATTAGAGGCTCACAGGCTGGTGTGAGTGCTGGTGATAGTAACCAAGGGCATGATAAAAACACAGCTCTGCTAAATCAGTGTTCTGTAGAAACCCCCGACTGAGGCGGACTTCATTGCCCGCTCTGCTGCTGCAACTTAAAACAATCACAAATGGATGCAAAATGTTCCCACGATGATGTTTTGAAGCCTGCGAAAAACACTGTGCAGATTTCACAAACTTCCGCTAAATATACTTGCCCCGTTGACATCACGCTGTTATCTAAAGCTCAATTCTTCTTACATGGACAATTATGTTGTCATTTGCGCACAAAGGAAGTTTGGTTCAAACGAGCCAAATGAGGGGAAGCAGCTTTTTTGGTGACTCACTCCAGGGATGAAGGGTGTTACAGGAAGGACTTGTACGTAAAACGGGAGAAAGGTTGACGGATGAAGCAAAGTGCGTTGGCACTCAAAGAGACCTGACGCAGGTCTGACAAAATCTGGACATCGTCTTTAAATGTTCTTATTCACATTTATGTATGAGACGTTTTCAGCGAATAAATATTTCTGTTGTGTTTTAAACTTTAAATTTTCACCTGTTTTTTTATTCAGATTGTAGGAGGTGGTAATTATATTTATTTATAGCTTGATGACATTTTTTTCCCCAAGTTAGAGAAATCTGTGTGACATGTAAAGAAGCTGTTTTAGAAAGAATTACATCATCCATTCATCATTGGCTGTGCAGCTCCACAGGAGCTGGGGCAGGAAAGTGAAAAAGTCTATTGAGAAGATTTTCCTGATGGAGTTGAAGAAAAGACTAATCCTCATTTTGAGATTTTTTTTTTTTTTTGCCTTTACGTTTTTTTGGGGGGCGGGATGTTCTTGCATCATCAGCTACGTTACATTTGTAATTTATCAATAAAATCTAAGATTTAAGAAAACAGGACTTGGACAATAAAATTTATCTTGTTAGGCAGCTGACAAACTGAAAAAAAAGTCTTTAAATGTTCAAATGCTGGTACAGATTTCTCCAGTGGTTATAAATGTACAAAAGAATTACTGCTGTTTGATCTCATTTGTTCAGCATTTTCCGGTTTGTGTGTTGTCTTTATTTAATTAACAAAAATAACACAGATAATCAACACAAGTTGATTATAATCAACTTCTACTATGAGCTGGTTATAATATGAATTACATTTTAAATTGAATATCTGACTCCACTGAATGCAACCTATTGTTTATTCTTTTTTCTTTTTTTTTACTTTTAAAATGTCATTGTGCATTTTTCTTTTTCCACAAAGAAACTCATAATATTTCTGCTCATAATATTATGAACAGCAAAAAAAGATTTAGCATAGCTAATTGTTGTTAGATTACATTTAAGATGAATACTTAAGCAAATCACATCTTGGACAGGGTCTAGTCAAAGTCCTCATAATTTCAATTAAAATGGTGTTAGCGTTGAAGTGAATTTGCACTGTTGAAACATTTAGATAATACCTACATTCCCTTACAATCCACTGTAATTATAAGTATTTCTAGCAGGGGCAGCATTAAGACAAACTCATTATTGTTACCTGCTGTCGTGCTGCTTGTTACAGGGTAATGAATATCTCTCTGTCAGGACAACGATATTAGTCGGGGGAGCAAAATGGATTAGGCTCCGGACAGAACTCAGTTCCAATTTAGCAGGAAACAAGGTGGTTGGTTATTAAATAAATGTCAAACACCTAAATATAAATCACCTTAAAAGCTTAAGGAAGTAGGAGCTGATGTGAATTAACCAACTAAATAGTGATTACAATCAACAGACACAATGAGATGTATAAATAGAGTCCTGATCTCGTTTCTGTTTTCAGTGTGCATCTGCAGACACAGTGTCTGGTTGCGGTGCCTGTGTATTCTTTGTGTTTGGGGCCCATTTTTTTTCTTTCAAAAAGAAGTATGCCAAAAGATTTACAGTGGAAAGATTTTAGGTCAGAGCTAAGCGAAAGCTTCTCCCATTTCTGACGTCTTTTGTAGGACACACCATTATAAGATGGCCCCTAACGTTCCTCAGGGCACAGCACTGTGTGCTTGGTAGAGGAAACTATTTTTAGCAAATTATTATGAATGTCTCAAGGAGAACCCCCTCACCCCACCCCACCGCTACAGTGAAACTTTCCCTCCATTTATAAGTCGAAATGACCACACAACCGATCCGCAGAAAACTGTTGACTGTGATTTCGTGATACAGCTTTGCTCACGTATTTTTTTAAAAAAAATTTTATTGTTGCTCTCTTGCAGTGCATGAGGAACCCAGCTCTCCTGCTGAGGACAGGTTTAGTCATTAGAGCGCTTTGCCACATCCAGGAAAATGTCTGGCTCCTACGATGAATCTGCAGGTGCTGACGACACCATGGACAGCTTCTGGGAGGTAAAAGTTTGCTGCACTTTTAACCTGCAACGCCGTTTGTGAATCCCCCACTGTTAAGTATTGATTGGTTGCCTGATATCAAGAAGTCACTTGTTATCCTTTTTAAATGGTTAAAAAAAATGTCATTAAGCTTAGAAGGTTTTTTTGTTGTTGTTGTTTTACGCAGAAGATTAGCTGAAAATGTTATTTTTCCCTTTAGTACCAAGAATGATGATTTGAGTGCAGCATAAGGAGAGCACAATCATACATGAAGTGGCCTAACATGCTGTTTCTGTGTGCTGCAACAGTCTGAATCACTGAGGACAGCTAATCTACAGGCAGAAAAGTAATATAATATTCATATCTTCATAAGCAGCAGATTCGTGAGATATTACAAATTACTTTTTCATTGCCTTAAATGATGTCATTAACAGAAATGAACCCGTTTACTACCATGGTAGCTCAGAGATGACAAAGTATGGCCGCTTGATGGGGCAATATTTACATTTTGATCTGCCGAGTGTCTCTACGTTATTCATTCCAGAGATTTGAGTTGGGCAAAAGTATTCCTAGGATCTAGTAGATATTTCTCACTATGTGCAGCTATGCCTCATCCTTACTGATGCTACTGGCATCAGCATCAGTAAGCTTATTCTTCTTGTCCACTGTAATACGTGTGTTCATAAAATGTTGCAAGCACACAACTCTAGTTTGAATATAGACAACGTAATGAATGTTGCAATCTGAATATGCTTTAAAAGAGGCCCTCAAAAAACAAAACTCTATTATGAAGTGAATAAATTTGTATAATTTGTCACTTCCTGTGTCAAATAGCATATTACCACATGTCTGCAAACTTTGAAGGAAGGTAGTATTTCTCAGAAATGCCATCCTAGGGTTGAATATTTTGAAGAAAAAAAAAAAATCGCAGGAGGATCTACACTGTAAACGTTTTAAAGTGAGTAAAGTGTTCAGTTCTTTCATAACGTGTACAAACAGCAACCTCAGGGGTTTCCGGCTGCTGTTTCCTTGAATGGCTTCTTGAGACTGGTTCTATAAAACAGAGCCGGTCCCTGCTGAGCCAACTTCACTACAGAAATAAATGTCTCTACACCAGCTACAGGAAAAATAAATACCTTTGGTCTCCACTGGTAGACTGTTAAATTCAACCCCAACTGTTTGGGCTTTGTCAAATTTCTTTACACGCATGGGGTAATAAAAATACACCAAAGAACAAAATAAAAAAAATTTAAAAAAACATTGTTTATGTATTATTAATAAGCTTAGAAATAACACATATACACTGTTGAGTTTAAAGCTCTCTTTTTTCATATATTCTTTTTCATTTTTATCTAAAGGCAATTTTTTTTTATCTGTTGTCTCTGATTTAAAGAATGGAAGGCAACTTTAAACAGAATACAAAAGAGCAGTAACAACAGAAAACTCATAGAAACCCCATTTTATTTTAAAATAAACAATGCAGACAGTAGCACAGAGAATGTCAACAATATTCATGCTGACCACCTTTTTCCTCTGCCCACAAAGATTTTTGTGATACTGAAGTCACGGTCTGTTAGCAGGTGATTCAAAACATTGACTTTGTTGTCCTGATGCTGTTTTTGTCAGTAATTTGGCTTCAGGGACATTCATTTGTGGATAAACTTCAACTTCCTTTCACATCTTGAGATGTTGCTTCCGAATGGAAACATGTTTTTGCCATTTATTCCATTTATTTTGTGAAGTAAAATACCCATAAGACACGATTGTGGACCCTTCACAGTTGGAATGGTGATGGTTGGCTTGCAAACTTCTCTCTTTTTCCATTAAATGCAATAATGGTCGTCATGGCAAACGTTTCAATTTTAGCTTCATCGGAGCAAATGATCTGCCTCCTGAAATTGAGGTCTGTTTCCAAGCTTTCATCTTGTTGTTTGAGCAGTGGCCTCTGGGACCAACACAGCGACATGGTCCGTTGCTTTTTTTTTTGCTGTGCTAGAGAGGCACATTTTGCACCAAAACGTTTCTGGCTCGTAATTCATCTCAAACCGTTTTCTTTGACTTTTCGTGATCTCAATTTTTTTTTTTTTTTTTTTTTTTTTTTATCACATTTTGGAGTTTGCAAATCTGTAATCTGTGAGAGGGCCATACTTACAAAAGTCATAAACTTTATTTTTGCACTTGTATATGCATTACTTACAATGTGAGGGTGTAAGTTTGTACCATTGCATTGTTGACGTCCCTTTTTAGGGCAACAACAAATCATCATGATGTGGCTGTAATTGCGGTTTATAAAGGTGTGAGCTATGAGTTGGATGCTAATGTTTATTGATACCGTAAATATGCTCACATTTAGCATCCTCTACAGGAATAGGGACATTCATATGTAAAGATAGAGTATGTGATGTGTGTGTGCATGTGTGTGTGCATTAAACCCTCCAAATTAGTTAGAATGAATTCTCTGAGAACAGAGGCTTCTTTGTGTCATGGCTCTCTTAGCCACAGAGACTCAGACAAAGAGTCTCAGTCATCAGCCGCTCTGAAGCAGCCTTTCACCACATGCACCTGCATGCAGCATCTGAGCTCTAGCGACGCAGATAAGGTCATCTTATGATGTAAAAATGCAAATAAAAAGCTTTAACATCTGTTATTGGTCAGTGAAGCTCTTGTTTAGAAACTTAGCGTGTCTCGCAGTTTCCCTGCCGCTTTCATCTCAAACAGTAGCCAGAAACAAATGCAAACTAGTGTCCAGACCAAAACACAGAGCGTCGTTGTGGCCTGCAAGCATCTCAGACCGACTCTCTGTGATCAGTACCAAAATGACACTACACACTATGTACCAGCTCCAGCCTATACATCATACACACTGAGAGAGAGGGAGAGAGAGAGAGAGAGAGAGAGAGAGAGAGGATATCTGTGGTATTTCTGTCTCTTCCTCGTCATCCATTCCTGAGAATCTGTCTGGGTGTATTATACCACTCAAGAGGATTAAAGCCGCCACACACACACAAACACTCACTCACACACACCCTCATGTACCCATGCAAACACAAGCCCTTGACATTGCATAACTCCACATGCACAGGCACGAGTAAATCCCCCCCTCCCTCCTCTATTACCCTGCCTTCATCATGCACCATGAGCCCACTCCCCCCTGCAGGCACCGAGGAGGAGGGGCCATCCAGCAGGCTCCTACTTTTTAAGGGAGTTCCACTTAAGGTGGCAGAACCTGAAATAAATACAATTGATTATTTTAATTTTGAATAATTTAATTTGAGTGCTGCTCACATCCAGCTGAGGAGTGAAACAAATTAGCAGGACAGCTTCTCCCTTAAGGGTCAAGATGTTAATACATGCAAAGTTGATGGAAAAATTGTGACTTTATTTTCTTTACTTTGAAAAGAAACCATTAGAAATAAAATTAAAAACAATTATTTCTTATGGATTTTTTTTTTTTATCCAAGTCTTTTAATCTCAGTTGTGTTGTCCTTTTGGTTTCTGTTTATTTTGGGGTATTAGAGTATACAGAGCTGAAAACAAATGCAAGTCATTCATTTTGGATCTTATTTTTCATGTGAAACCTCCATAATTTTGCATTTTTTGTTGGTTTGTCTTGTAAAATGCAAACAAAATTCAAAAACGTTCATAGGACATGATTTTTTTTTATCTCTCTTTCTCTCTGTTTTTCTCTCTATCATTCCCTCTCTCTCTCTGTGCTCAGGTGGGGAACTACAAACGTGCTGTCAAAAGATTTGATGATGGCCATCGGCTCTGCAATGATCTTATGGGTTGCCTGCAAGAACGTGCCAAGATAGAAAAAGCTTATGGTGATCAGCTAAATGCCTGGTCCAAGCGATGGAGACAGTTAATTGAAAAAGGTTCTGCTTTTTTATTAAGATTAAACAACTATTAGCTAGGATGAGACGAGGTAATATTTTATGTACAGTTGATAATGCTTGGTGACTTCAAATCCTGATTAGTTGCTCCTGGATGCATCTAATACTACTACAAATAAGCAATTTTATTATTTGGTCATTTATGTGATACAAGTCATTGTGTTGATTATGTAGCACCTGTTCACATGTGCATTACACAGTTAAACGCAAAATAATTCATATTCCTGGCCGATTTAAACTGAGAAATATTTCCATTCAACAAAGCTTATTTCCGAGATAAATTGAGGTGAGCATCTTTCAAAATATGATCATCTAACAGAGCATCGCTTTAAATATTTTCAGCTACATTTTCTTAAAAAGACAACGTGACAAAAATGTTTCTCATGAGTAGTTTGGAAAGCTTTTATCATTGTGCCAAACTACTCTAAACGGAGACAGAAGGAGAGTTAGATAAAACTTCAAACCTTTTAACAGAACCTCACATCAGAAATCCCTAAGTAGTCGCTTAAAAGGACAAATTAATTCATTAAATTTCAATTAAACGAAGTTTGATTTGTGATATAACTGACACAATCATTCTGCTCTAAATTTTTAATTTGAAATTAATCAACTGGTGCTACTCTCAGGTCCACAGTACGGCTCCGTGGAGAGAGCCTGGCTTGCGGTTATGACAGAGGCAGACAAAGTGAGTGAACTGCACCAAGACGTGAAAAACAACCTGCTGAACGAAGACGTTGAGAAAGTGAAGAACTGGCAGAAGGAGGCATATCATAAGCAAATGATTGGAGGCTTCAAGGAGGCCAAGGAGGCAGAGGAAGGCTTTAAAAAGGCTCAGAAACCATGGGCCAAAAAGCTCAAAGAGGTGAGGAAGTAAACGGATGTCTTCAGGAATCACCTTTGCTTGTAAAGAAAGTCTTAGGCTGTGTTTCATAAAGGCCAAGTATTTACTTGAATGGAGTTAATTCAGTGTGTAGCAGATGTATCTGGTAGTAAGTGCTAATTGCTCTTGTAAGGTAAGAAGTTTTTTTTTCTTCTTCTTCTTCTTCTTCTGTATATGTTTTGTTAAATCTTTCACCGTTCCTGTGTGTGGACATGCAGATGGAGGCAGCTAAGAAAACGTACCATATGGCCTGCAAGGAGGAGAGGCTGGCTGCAGCCCGAGAGGCCAATGGCAAGACGGAGGCTTCTGTCACACCAGACCAGCAGAAGAAACTTCACGAGAAAGTGGATAAATGCAAACAGGACATGCAAAAAGTAAAGACCTCAAAGTCTTACTAAATTTGGTCAGACTGCAAAGAGTAAACAAAGTGGTTGTTGTTGCTGAGATTTTTACTTTTGTCTTTTGCATATATTTTCACAGAAATATTCAAGTGCATGTTATGTATCGTCGCTAAAATGCTGTGAAGTAGTAGTTGCTCACTTACAGATTCCTTCTGTTTTTATTTTTTTTTAATTTTCACACTTGAATGTGGAGTTTCAGTTTAGCAAAAGCAAACAAAAATCAACTGAGTAAAATACAAAAAGTAATTTTCAAATGATTTCATTTATTAAATGGAAAATATTTCATCAAAGATTATAAAGTACGCCCCCCAATTTGGGAAAATTTAAGAACAGATGATAAAAAAAACATTGATATCAGACACTTTGACTCCTTTAAGCTGATTTTGAAAAAGGCTTTGTATGGTTGTGAAAAATTAAATTCATGTCCAAAACAACACAAAGTTTTTGTGCAAGACCTGTGATCTTTAGCTCCTTCAAGTCTAACTGATCACCGATCATAATCGTTGTACTAAAGATCCTCACAGAAAGAACAAATATGTAGCTTTTACCTTTATAACACCTCAAAACTACTGTCACATCGTGTCCGATATAATTCAGTTGAATTATACGCATTAGATATATCACTTCAGATAATTTTTTTGTCTTCTTTCTCAGGCTAAGGAGAAGTATGAGAAGTCTTTGGAGGAGCTAAGCAAGTGCACTCCTCAGTACATGGAGTGCATGGAGCAGGTGTTTGACCAGTGCCAGCAGCATGAAGTCAAGAGGCTAACTTTCCTCAAGGAGGCCTTGTTGGACATAAAACGCCATCTTAACCTCACTGAGAACCAAAGGTTAGTCGAAATCAAAGAGACAAGTCACATATTCTGTATTCTGACATTGCAACTAGCTTAAGTTGTGTTTATTCCTGCTTGCAAAAGGATCGAAGGAACAAAAAAAAGGGACCAAATCCTGATCCGTCTACCTGAAGGTTGGACAACCTGAAGGCTGTCTCTCATAGCCGGGACTGAACTTTAAAAAATGGTTACCTTTTAAAAACCTGGTTTGGCCTAAAACCGTTTACTGTGCTAAAACTTTTTTTTTTTTTTTTTTTTTGCCTTGTTTTTAAACCACTCTTTTGTCTGGAGAAAATTATTGCATTATATGTACAACTTGACTGACTTTTAGAAACAATAACTAGGTGCATACGTTTTAATGTATCATGGATTTTTTTTTCCTGATCCACAAAAGGCCAAAAATACATATAAAGCCTGATTAAGGGGACAGCAAAATGTGTCCAAGTTGTTGATCTCAGTTGAAGTTGAAGGTTTTCTTTGCATCCTTTTTTAATTTTCTAACTATTTTTGCATCAGTAGCACTGGCAGTAAACCCCAGTCCCACAGTTGACTGACAAAAACAAACTAGTAGATGAGTTCACAATCTCAAATATGAAGTTGAAATGATTCTCCAAGTCAAAAGACATTCTGAAGCTTTAATCACCACCTATTATATTTCAGCCTGTATTTATAATTTTGATCCCTGTAGGATGGTAAAAATGAACACTAAATTCAAACTTGGGTTTTTTTCTTTTTTTTTTACAAATTACTGAAATTGTTTGATGTACCTCCATTTCACACTAAAAAGAGAATAGATTAAAGAAATCATTAAAGCCCAATATTAATATGACGTTAACCCTAGCTAAGTTCACAAGTGCATTTCTGAAACATAAATCTGCAAATATCCAGATGGGACATTAAATTTAAACTATGCAGAGTGTATCCATGCATTAATAGTTTTGATTTAAAAAAAAAAAAACAATCCAAGCAACAAACAAATTTTAGTTGATCAGTTTGATTGGACCTGTGTCACATTCGGCACAGTTCACTTCTAGCTGATTAATTTCAACATGCGTATCAACCAGCTGTGTATTTCTCATTAGCACTCAGCCTCACAACGTTAATTAACCGAAAATTCATTCAATGGCGTTTCTGACAAAATGAATTTGGTTCAGAACGAATGCTTGTCATATTCTGGCCTGTTTTTAAGCTGCGCCTAATAAACAAGCCAGGAGCCACGGCGAAGGGATTTACAGGCTCTTTAAACAAACCTGCCAAGTTTGTTTTGCATCAATCTCACTGGCCTCTCAGAAGACTGTGTAATCGTGCACCATCTATTCGAAATTATGTGACACCTTTTGTCTTACTATTTCTGTGTCTTTTTATCAGGATGTTTTAAATCTAATTCAATTTGCAGCTGTAATCGCAGCAACAAGAGGTTCCTCAAAGTCCGCACTTGAGGGGACTGAATATAGAGACATTCAATTAAATATGGAAATATTATGAAAAAGTTCATTTATTTTCAGAACACATTTCAAATTTTGGGTTATTAAAAGTATGTTTTATATCTTATTATTATTTTCAAAGGTACCTTTAAATCTGACAATCGAGGCTGATCGGAATAAATATTCTAATTTATTGTCTAACCTTTCAAAACATGCATCATTTGCCTTTCACTTCACAAACATGCGGTCCTTTTGTGTTGGTCCATCGTAGAAAACTTTCAAGCTTGTTGCTGTGACGTCACAAACTGGGAAAAGGTTAATGCCGTACGAATAGCTTTGCAAGCGTTGCATGTCACATTTTTGCATGGAAAGTTTATTGAATACACAAAAACCGTTATTTAGGCTAAATACTTTAGCAGTTGGGGGTTCCAAGCTTTGACAAAGAATTAAGAGAGAGAAAATCCACTCATGCCCTAACCTTGGATCTCTTTCAATCCGGAATCTGAGCCACAGTGTGAGCCCCGGTGCCAGTTTGGCAGCAGCCTCTCGTCCCTTCTGGTCCCTCCATTGTTACAGTTTGTTCCGCTCTTCTCTCCTCAGCTATGTCACAATATACAGAGAACTGGAGCGCATGATTCAGGCCATAAGCACACAAGAAGACCTGAGGTGGTTCAGCAATAATCATGGCCCAGGGATGCCCATGAACTGGCCAGCGTTCGAGGTAAAACATCCACAGTTTGGACCAAACAGGCTTCCAGAACTGCTCCCTGGATTTATTTTGTATGCTTTGATATTTTTGTGCAGGAGTACAACCCAGACCAAGCAGCTGCTCCTCCAAAGAAGAAGAAACCAGATGGAGCCCCACCCACTCCAAGCACTGACCATGTGGCTCCCCCTAGTGACCGTAGCAGGTCAGTTGAAGGCATTTACATTTTCTTATTGAAACCATTTCATTTTGGGAGCGGTTCTAAAATTATTATTTAAGTTTCATCTTAAATAACACTGAGCAACATTTTATGTAATTTTCTTTTCTTTTTCTTTTCCGTAAATAAAAAAAGTCGACCAACTGAAAGGATACGAGTTTTATTTCAAATTTAACCCAACATTTCCCCCCTCCCCCTTTTTTTTTTTTTTAGCGTGAGCAGCTATGACAAGAACCAAGCTTATTCGACCGAGTGGTCCGACGACGAGCAGCCCACTGCGTACTCCGGCAACGAAAACGGTGGAAACAGGAATTCGTTTGAAGACGATTCCAGCACTGGGAAAGGCGTCCGTGTCCGCGCCCTCTATGACTATGACGGCCAGGAGCAGGACGAGCTCACCTTCAAAGCAGGTAATTATTTGAGCCCACCAGGTGAATATGGACGTGATGGAAAGCTATGGTTAAAAAAACAAAAACTACTGTTTCCTTTTCTGTTCTAAAGCCTCCTTCCTCTACAAGAAATAACAGGGATTAGGAATAATAGCTACGCTTGGGAACAAATTACAGGCGTTTGCTATCAATTAACTCAAGCTGCTTGAGCAATGGTCCAAAAAATGGCTCAGAGGTTCCTGCACGATCACAAATAGTAATTTAAAGAGAATTACAGTAGCTGTAACATCAGCTGTGAATCTTTGTCTTGATTTTTTTCTTTTGCTTTTTCAAGTTTTAGCCACACAGTTATACATGTTATAGACATATACATTATAGACACATTTAAAGAAAAATGTCTGTCCATAACTAAACCCAGTTTGGAGGTTCATGTTATATGAAACGTCTCCTTTTCCAATGATTGTAACACTGAAAGCTTTAAAGTAAAAAAAAAAGAGGAAATTCTCATCTAGTTCCTTTTGATGTCCCTTTTTAATTGTATTTGGTGTGGAAAATGCACATCAGCTGATATTTCTGTAGATGTGCTGGAATTAGCTAAAAGGTTGTTTGTCCCTGGAGAATGCTCAATTTGTCCTATTAAAAACCAAGCAAGGTTAAATAGACTTAATTATGCAAATTGTGTCAATAAATACAAAATGAACGCAAAACAAAACAAGGAAACTTCAACACAATTATGAAAAGCATGAGCAATTAAAATTAAATGAATTGAATCTCACTAGATTTACAGAGTGCAAGGATAAAGTATCCTGGTCATTTCAAAGCAAAAATCTTCCGCTGAGTAGCGCAAGCTGGGGGATGCAGTTCCTTGCAAAGTATTTAGCATTTTGTGATGTTCCACATACACAAAAAAGAAGAAAATACAAACTTTTTGTTGTATTGTGATAAAACATAGGGCAAAGTTGAAGGAGTGTGAATTTTAATGTTTCCTTAAAAGCTAAACAAATTCGTATTGTTTGAGCTGTTCTTTAAAAAAAAAAAAAGATTTGTGGATAGTTCACATGGAAATATGTCCCGTTCACATCAGAACCATTTGTGTCATTTGTCTTGATGGAATTTTTTATTTTATTTTTTATTTCCTTCACAGGTGACGAATTCACCAAGACAGAGGACGAAGACGAGCAAGGCTGGTGTAGAGGTCGTTTGGACAGCGGCCAGGAGGGACTGTACCCGGCCAATTACGTGGAGCCAATCTAGTCACATGAGCGGACAGAGACATGCCGCTGGAGGCAGCTTGAACCGTCCCGTCCAACTGCACCGCACATAGCCAGAGACTTAAGAGCAACACATCCTTTGCCCAACAGATGCGCCAAGCTGTCTTGCCTAACTAAAACTTAGTAACCTAAAATGACACTATATCAGTGTAGTATATTTTATCCAGCGTTTGGGGTGGGCGAAGTTACACATTCAAAAAAAAAAAAAAAAAAAAGCAGCAGTTGTGCTATTGTAGACACACTCAACTAAAACATGAAGACAGTGCAGGAACACATTGCTTCTCTGTGTGGCTGTGTTTAATATTAAACAATGCAGCTTATTATTAACTCACAGTGTACCGCGGTGTGTTTTCCTGAAGGGCAGATATTATGTTTTACTCATTTAACAAAGACGAGCTTCTCTAACCTGCATTGTGTACATACGGTGTGATGCCATTTTGTGTAGCATTTTTAATGCCGTGTATGTCATTCTTACAACAGGAATGCTGTGTAGTGTTAACAGTACCACAGACAGTATCCTTTTTGTTTCCTTTTTTCCTTTCGAATCCCGTCCGGCCTCCGTTCCAGTGTGTGCAGTGCTATGTGTCTCAAACTGTTTCTGAACATTGCATAGCAGCATGTGCTATGCAACGAGTTACATACCCCCTTCTTCCCCACCCCCCAAGTCCCTGCAGCCTCGCTACGGCTACATTCTGATGCAACACTTCGACTACAAAATGCAGCATTACATGCTTCTGGACATGCATGTGCTCCCGGGTTCACAAGAGAAGGCTTCTCGATGAACTGACCTCACATTCGCTTTGTTTTTGACCTTTTTCGTTTTTGTCCCGTAAATCCTTTGACCACGCCATCCTAATGCAAAGCCATGGAAAGGATTTACGGTTTTGTTTTTGGTTTTTTTGTTGTTGTTTTTTTTTTTTTTTGCAGAAGCTTCCATCCGCGCTTCAGCAAATCAGGGTTCACTTTAATCAAACTGTGCTAACGAGACATACGAGCATTACTTCAGAGCGGAGTTGGATCGACTCATCTCGAGCTTGAGACTGCGTTATAGGAAAGATGTCTTGAACAATACATGTGCCTGGGACTCTTTTTCCAGAGCAAGGGGCGTGTGGATGCATGTCAGTGGATATCTGTGCAACAGTGGTTCGTCTAAAGATTGACCCCTTTCCAGCAGGACATGAATGTACTTGTGATTGGGCTTTAAAGAGGGTAAGATGTCTAAATATTTTCACTGGCATAAAGCAGTAGTTATGTGGCCCTTCCCCCAACTGAGCCAAAGAATGATCCATCACTTATCACTCCACACACTAATTACACATATCTCATGAAATGGATTCACTAAATTAGTTTTTTTTTTTTTTGCTTCCCTGCCCAACCGGATTCCCCTTTGTCTGCAAAATCTGCTCAGTGAGCCAGTAACATGTCATGCAAAGATAACCTCTGACTCAGTGGAGTACATGGTTGCTTTTAATCTTCATTTTACTTTCAAGGAATTACAGTGCCTAGTTAAAGTATTCATACCACTTGAACTTTTGTCCATGTTTTGTGACCAGATGCTTCAACATATTTTGTGAAGTAAAAACCAACACCAAGGAGTTCAGAAGAAGAAAAAAGGCAATTTGGGGGTGGAGGGGGGAAATGACAAATGAGAATCGATGTATGCATGTACATGTTGTGTGAACATTGTATTCTCCCCCCAGAGACATAATTTAAAGCACCAATTTTGCAGCTACAGCTACGTGTTTTTGGGAGCATTTCTCTTGTTGTGACATTTGCAGTTTGTTGCCTATTCCTCTTTGCAAAGTAGCTAGAAATAGCAATATTTAAACCTTGCACACAGATTCTCAACTGAATTTAGTTCTGAAATCTGATTATGCCATTCTAACATTTCAATATCCACATATGTGGCTGTATATATATATATATATATATATATAGTGCTATCCTACTGGAAGGTGAACTACCACCCTACTTTTAAGTCTTCTGCAGCCTCTGAAGGGTTTTCCGTCCAGTTTTCTCTTGTATTTTCTCTCAGTTCACTCCTGCTTCTTTGCTCTTGCTGAAGAAAATCAGGAGTAGCATATAGATGTGGAAAGTCCTGAAGTTCAATTCTGGTCTCATCTGACCAAAGCAGGGACTGAGTACTGATGTGTTACATTGTTTGTGGTCGAACATGTTCAAGGGGTATGAATACTTATGCAAGGAACAGCATTTTATCATATTTTCTATAATTACTTTTATTACTATGATTACATCATATTTATCAAATGCTGATTAGTAGGTTGTGTACTTCCGGGTTGCACCTACAGCTCAGTTTAGATGAAGTGTTTTTGAGACCATAGTGATAAAAATAAAAAATGACTGGACTTGTTCAGCTCTGGATTTGGGGAAAGGTCTCACGCACGAGGACAAAACACATCACCAGCTCACAAGGTGCGTATTAGAGTGCAAGCGTGTCCAGCAGGGTTAAAAAAAAAAAAAAAGACTCCTGTTGCTAAACTCTCCCACTTTCTCAATGCTCACACGCAATACACAAACATGCAACAACACAGGTGGTAGACTGATGATATACACATTATCTGCAAGTTCAGACTCCTTATCTATAATACCAGGTGAATACTTTGGGGTAAAACATCCGTATCATCCAGTGTGTATGAGTCGTGTAAATGTTATACAAAGTTGTAACAAAACAAGCAAAAAAAAAAAAAGTAAAAAAAAAAAGAAAAAAAAATGCAAGTGATTGACTATTAAGAATAAAAAATGTAGTGTTATACATGTAAATGTGTTTCATTAAATGACAGCAATGGAAAAACGTGTTAAGTAATAGGTACCATATCGTATGAATTTTATTGCAATGAAACTGTCAGTGTATCATAAAAGCGTGATGTTATCCCACGCTGTCAAGATTTGTACATGATGATGTAATTTAAAGATTATATTCTATTGTAACTGTACAACTGTGTTGAGTTGAAAATGAGACCTAACTATGTTGAGACAGTAAAAAAGGTGTACTTGTAAATGCTTTTTTTTTTTTTATGTTGATCTTTTTTCCTTATGCACACAGGGGGCTGCAGCTCACAATGTGAAAAACCCCATATTAGCAGTATAGAAGATGTATGTTCATAGTTAGTGATGTACTTTTATCTCCTAACTGGTGTAGTGCCTGTTCATCTTGATGTAACAAGAAGTTCATTTAAATATGCATAAAAGTGATTATGATCACAGATAATAATGACTATAGTGGTAAAAAGAAGAAGAAAGAAGTCCAATCAAATTTGCTGTGATGGTGTCAATATTGAGATATTGATTTGGGAGGGAAAGAAGTTTGTTGAAAAAAACCCCAAAACGTTCCATCTGTGTGTGTGTGTGTTTGTTTTTCTATGGAGTCCGTGTGTTATTTTATTTAGATCTTATTTCTTGTTTCCTCTGTGAAGGAGAAACCTCTTATTATATTAGAGAGCCTGCAGAGAGATATAAAGATGGACATATAAAACACTAATTATGTAGTGAAAACCTTTATTGACAATATTTTCATGGATAAAAAAAAAAGTGTGCTCATCCATTTAAAAAAGGAAATCTAATTTAAAGTGACAATGTGGAAAAAATATCACAATGTCCCTCAACTTAGTCTAAGGCTTTATAATACAGAGAGCTGTGAAGAAATCTGAAATTAGACAAATATGTCACTGACCGAGTCATTTGAACAAAATCACCTGTGCCACAATTATTGGTGCAACTAAATAACCTGATTAGATAAATGTAACTGAAGCCAAAATGTATAATTTTTCAAGATGATCTGTGGTTCTAGTAACTTTTAATCTGTAATCCGTAGCTTTCTGTTCACTTGGCGTAGAAATATGACTAGACAAAGAAGTTTGTGTTTTTAATAAGAAGCAAAGAAACCAAGCAATCTTGGAGTCACCAAGTCTCAATAACAATCATGTCTTTGTGTTTGGTAGATGCTATTAATTATCCACAGTTATTTATAAATTAGGAAAATTCAATGCAGTAAATATCAAGGCTAACTTGTCAAGCAGTTGCTTGTGAGAAATACTAAGACAATTAATTGCTGTCCTACGCAAATGTAAATGTGGTGCTAGCTATACTCTGCGGGGACTTTCCATGTTTTGGTCAAATTAAACTAAAATATAGATTTTCGAAAAAAACTCATTTATTACTTGTTATGTCAAACAAGTAATAAATATATGAAAAGCACTCACTGTGAACTGTTAGGTATTATAGAGCATTGGTGCATAAACAAAAAAAAACTGCAGACACGACAAAGCATGTAGCTCATTTCCGTGATAATTTAATTGTAGAAACATTCATCAAACATAAAAGAAATGATCTTTCACTTGTTTGCACTTCCTCACTTGCACACATGCGCTGCTGTGTGAGTCTTACACCAACCGATTCACCCTGTGAAGGAAACTTCAGAGATGCAACACAGAGAAAACAACACACCTAGTACTCGATGAAATGACATTTGGAAGAAGAAACACGCATCGCACGAGTTACTGGAAGGAAATGCTTCAGCGCAACAGGAGCTGTATTTCTGCGTTAGCTGGTATTGTCATATCATGGTTCAGCACCTCAGGGGTTCACACTTTCATCAACTAAAGGGCGCCGATTTGATGAGGTGGTCTAACACACTGACTGCAGATGATATAATCACAGCGATCATAACCTTTTTCTCTGACTTCACAGTCATTCTGAAAGAAAATATCACAGCCTTTGTGAAGAAGGTTAGACTGCTCAGTGCATAAATTAGTCATTTGGTAAAAGAACGTAAAGAACTGCTGACACTTTGACAGGACATGTGAATTCATTTGCGATGACACGATGAGCTCTAGAGATGCACCAATCAGGCTTTTGTTTACCAACACCAATTTCCAGTTTCCTACTAGGTCTGATCTGGCAATTGCAATTTTGCTTTATCTGATATTTTTTATTCCATGAGACTTAAAATACAAAAAAGAAGTGCTGCAGATTTCTATTAGTGATAGACTTAGCAGAACATTCCAGAAATGTAAGAATATCTCAGTTTATGTAAAGAATACACCCCCAGCCTTTATCTAAATTATATTAATTTTTTTTAAAAAAATGCGCTAAACTAAGTGCTGTATACTGAAAATACAGTTTCGGGGTATTAAGACATGTTTTACAAGGACATCAACTCCATGTCAAGAAATGAACAGTCAATGCTTAACTGAGAGCCTAAAAGCATTTAAGTAAATATTAGCCAAATTAGTCACAAAGTAGAATAAGCCGTCAGTTTCAGGCTTCACAAACAAATCAACAGTGTAGACAGCTTAGTGTAGGGTGGGATTCACTAATGTTATTGGATCATTGCTGCAATATTTTAGTTGATTCTGTAGAATTGCTCAGGAGGCATCATTTTTTATCTTTGTCAAAAGATCCATGGCAACCGGGGCTGTCCGATGATCAAACTGTGTCATTCTGAAGAGTCAAAATGGGCCAGAGCGCAATTTTCCTACGGGAAACTGGACTTCCCTCACCATGGAAACAAAAGGCACAAAATCTGACAGGTGCTTTGGTTTTGGTGCTTTTCATGAACGATCGGATTTTTAAGAGTTTGATTGGCCAAAGACCAGTCAGAGCCAATCAACAGAAAATTGGCCAATTACAATCTGTGGCTAATTTATTGGTGCATCTCTAATTAGTTCAGTACATGTTAATACATAGCTTCCAAAACAGTTTGTAAGACAAAAGACAGGGAAAGAAAGTACACAGAGTCAAACTGCCAGTTCAGTTCAAACATAATCCAGATTCTTTGGGCAAAAGAAAACATTGTCAAAGTTGTAATTTTTATCTACATTCACAAAATACATTCAACCTAAATGTTAAATGTTAAGTCTAATACAGGCTGAACCAAACTCCTTGATTTTGTATAATGTGGCGTAATGTCTTTATAAAGTATTTATTGATGTCAATATGGCTTGAGTTTTGAGTCTTACAGCATGATGTGCACTAATTGAGTTACAACGTTGTGTTTGTAAATGAAAACGCTCATTTGTGAGGCATAATCAGATATATTCAAAAGTAACTTGGCCTGAAAACTCTAAAAAAAACAAAACAAAAAAAAAAAACATCAACTTCAGAGATCAGTTGTTAACAGCAAAAATGCTCCCTTTTTGTGCCTGCTTTTGTGACTTCATGACCCATTTAGAGCTTGGTGGATGGTGCAGGTGGGCTCATTCTGGAGAAAATGAAATGAAAGTTTTCAAGACTTAAACTAAACCTAATACCAACTCACACAATGACTGGATAAAGCACCAATACATTTATATAATGATATTGTATTTGATGCAAGTCGCTAACAGTATTGATTCTGCGGATATGTGAGTGATCTTGATTCAACTCAATTTTACCAAATCTATACTTGTCTAAGTAGTAATGACCACCTACCTGACTAAGCACAAAAAAATGTGTTCAGCTGTTTACACTCCATGCCGTGTGACAGGGTAGAAAAAAAAATGTCAGTATTCCAAAAGTCATGTGGTAAAAATCTTACACTAACTGACTTTGACATCTAAAACCCAAAAACTGCATTTCAGGGTAGCCTTTACAATCAACCGTAGTGCTATATAGGCCAGAGGATCCACAATTCAAGAAAACAAACTAAAAGAAGCAGAAACTGTAGAATCAGTTGGCAAAAATGAATGGCTTTAACTCTGAAGTCTCTTTTCAGGTCGCACAATGCACGCACATCTTCACACACACACACACACACACACACACACACACACACACACACACACAAAAGAAGCTCTCAAACAAGCACTACTTTCATCTCTGCCCATGTGCATCCTTGTCAACTAAGGGAAAAAAAAAGAAAAAGAAAAAGCTCATCACTCAAGACTCATAGCACTCATATTTTTTAACTTAGCATTCACACGTGCATACAGTGGGATGTTGGTTCAGCTGCACATCAGGAGCGTCGGTCTCCGGCGTTTTTTTTGTTTGTTTGTTTGTTTTTTAAGTGTAATTGGACTTTGCATAAAGTGTTTTGACCTCCACACTCCACAGTAGAGCCTCCTGGTTTATTGGTGTGAGAAATTCCAGAGGTACAACTTAGTGCTGCCATACAGTGATAAGTCCCATGATTAAGAGTGCCCAAAAGGAGAGGGCTCTTGTATCTGTAAGAGAGGGGAATAATTTTAAAAAAACAATTAATCAGAGGTGCAAAACAACAAGAAACACACACAAAGATACCTGATAAGAATACTAATCTTTTTAGGCCTAAACTTGACCTTGGAGTTGTAGCAATTATTTCTGCATGGCAAACAGGATTGATATGGGTATTAGGCAAAACATTCATAGCGATCTTTACATTCTTGGACTTCTATTAGCTAAACTTTATGTCAATAAACTATACATGAAAAAAAAATAATAATCTGAGGCACAAGATAAATGTAGAACATATGAAACACAACTCATATTCTCAACTCAAACACCATAAAGCCAAAACGTAGTTTTAGAAGTGAGCAGTGGAGATGGGTGCAGCAGAAAGCTGCAAATACTTAATTCCATTTTTATTCCATAGCTGCCGCATTGATTCCTTTATTAAAATATTCAGATTTAGTACCTTTATTGGCACCTCTGACAAAAAAGCCTTTAAGATATAAATCATTCTCTGCTGCTGGAGCATAATCTCACACTGAAAGCCTCCTGATCATCCACCCTTTAAATTCGGTTTTTGATTTTGTGAGAAGGAAAAAAAAAAAACTATAACATTCTCAGTGGCTAAATTATTGCCATCCCTTGCCGTCAATGATTTGTAAAACCACCTTTAGACAACAGGACAGAACTAGGGCTGCTTTCACAAAGGAAGTGGTCACCATGCAGAGCAGGCACGGCGGCGAAGGTAAAAAAGAAACAAATATGCAGAAGCTCTGTGCTGGAGAACTGATGCAAAGATTGGCATCTGTGGTTCACCAAGTCTCCAAAACAACCATTAGGTGCTACCTACATGCCAGAGCTGCACAAGATACAGTAAAGACGGAAAGATTACTGCGTGATAAATCACAATCACAAACTGTTTAGATGCAATACTTGGAAGGATAATATATTTCAAGTGACATTCATGCACATTCTGCATGCCGATAATAAATATTTCTTGTCAGATAGGTTTTCATTGTCCTGTATGCTCACACATAATGTCTGAGATGCTAAAGCTTGCAAAGGGAGGTGAAAGCATTGGGATGCAGGAAAAGCAAAAAATAAATAAATAAATAAAATAAAAAAGAGTCAAAAAATGTGGGTTCATCGTCTTAACAGTATCAAAACGGTCACCTAATAATGCAGCCCGGCTCAGTTTATACTGAATAAAAGTCTGATAGATTTTGCAAATACAATTAATTTCAACCAAATTATAAGAGAAATGCTTAACCAGTTAAAAAATACATAAATCAAGTTCTCTACATGTTGGTGCTGCTTTTAATTGCTGTATTAAAACTTAGCTAAATACAGCAAGTGTGTACAAATAACCTGCAGCTTGTTTTTATTGCTGAGAACGTACAAATGTTTTGTTTTTGTTTGTTTTCTTCAATCGAGCCCAAAATAATAAGCCAACTGGATGCCTTTCATTTAATAAGGAAAACAAACAAAATGCATTTGAAGTTTTGGATCTATAATCCTGCTCGTAAAAAAAAAAAAAAAAAAAAAATCTGATTCTTTTGCAACATTAAAATAATTCAAAATCAGATCATTGTTGAGTAGATAGAAAAAATCCAACATTTTTACTGATTTTAGTTTTTAAAAAGTTGTATTTTTTTTTTTAGGCCAGTGAGTATTTTTGAGCTGATGATTTTGGCATATGAGACAAAAAGTTTGAACAGCCCTGATCTAGAGAGATTGTGTAAAGAGAGTTTGGTCAAAGATCGATTTTTTTTCCTTGTGTGTGTTCTTCAATAAAAGATTAATTTATTTAAAGCTTTTTCAACTACATTGGAGCCGTAGATAAATGTTTTATGAAACTCACCAGCCTGCAAACGGCTTCAAGTAGCAACATGGTTCAATTTTAAAGCCTATTTTCTCCTGATTTAGTTGCAAGAAAAACCTTTATTCTCTCCAAAATAGCTCACCTGGTTACACGGAACTACTGATAGACTGCTTTGTAGACGGTTTGCTACTATATCCACAGAGCCGTGTGAAAGTCCATTCTGGCCTTGCTGGAGAGGGTGTGGGCTTCCCTGCAAATGTTCCTCTGTGACACTACTGTTGCTGTCACTGTGGACGTGGTTGTTGTTGGGGCACTTGCTCTTCTGTGGCGAGGCAAACGGGTTGTAGTCTCCTTCCAGGCTGCGGTGAGGCTGCGTGTTGAACTCGGCTTGGAAAGAGGAAAGCTGCTGCGTGACTCCGAGGAGGCCTCCGACTTCTACGCTCAGGATCACCCAAATGACATCTGACGAGACAAAGGAACACGGTTACTTCATGAAAAACAACGACGACAACAAATCCAACACTTTCTTCAAAATATTATATCACAGCTTGATCGTAGAAGTTAATCAGAAGCTCTGATTTTGTTTCCTCCTTTTTGCTCAGTTTACTGCTCTTAAGCCTTTTAGAGCAGTAAGAGGTATAAGAGGTAAAGGTTATAATTTACTTTCAAAAATATGTGAAACAACGAAGCTGTGTTTGATTTGAAAATATCTTACTGAAGTAGCAGATGAGGTATTAATGGACAGCATTAATATGACTCCTAATTTTAAATTCAAACCAACTTCCAATCATGTAGCCTAAACTATGCTACAAGTAAAAAACTGTTTCTTTTTTACTTCTCACATAAGAAAGAAAACTTGTTTGTAGGTAGGTATTGGATATGTCTTGACATCCTCCATAATCTACTTCACTGAATTAAAAAGAACAACTTATAATCATTTAAAAGTGCACTACTTAGGGGTTTTTCTCAACCAGATAATCTAACACAGGGTCCCTACATATTTTTTGAGTAAAGATTGAATACTTTGCCAGTTCTCCGTCATTTAAAGGTGCAGTATATAACTTTGATAAACAGTAAGTTTTTACGCATTTGTTAAATATTGTCACTAATAATAATCTGTTAAAACTGTCACCATGTCGTGGCAAAATAATAAGAAACTGAAAATTTGTGCAAAAAAAAAAGAGCTCCACTGCCTCCTTCCTGTGGTCTTACGGCCATATGCAGAAATACACCACAGGTTAGTAACCATGGCCACGGAGGACGGCAGATAAACAGTTTTCCTGTGACAATGAGTTGTTTCCCTGCCATTAGTATACTGAGCAGCACAAACACAAGCATATTTTACCTTTCTCCTGGTTCTGATTGGTTGTTTTCTGACCGAGAGCGGTGCATTTCGGTTTTGAACAAATATGCACAAAACAAAAATTGTTTATGAAGTTACATACTGCAGCTTCACGTTCATTCATTGTCAGAGCAATACCTGAAAAGAAGCAACTGCGTCAATTATTGATGTGCTTTGTTTAAAATTAGCCCCGATTCCTGGCAGATCCTAATCCTGACCACTGAGTGCTCAAACATTACACACAGGAACAGACTGACAATGCAATGTAGGATTTACATGGTAATTATCCAACAGAGGAGGACTGTGGATGGTTGTTTATAGTTAAGACAGAATGGGAATCTTCAATTTGGAGCAGATCAATGAATGGCTAAAGTTCAACTCTTCAACTCCTAAAAGTGAGGGAAATATCAGTATTTCAGAATAACGCCGGCAGTCAAATTGTATTTATTTTATCGGTTTGTCAATATGAAACTTTGATTGCCGGTGTGTACTGCTGCATCAAGCTGGTTAGCAAAAGCTTCTCTAAGCTGAAATAAAACACTTACGAAATTTAAGTCTACCACTGCCATGCCTCTAAAGACAAACTCTCTCCTTCTATAAATAGGCTGAAAGGGATTGAATTACAAGCCGTTTCTTTCCAAGCTGTAAGGTGTGTTTTGATTGATTTTGGAGCTTATCACATTTGCTTTGGAAACCGGATTAAAAGAAACACACAATGTCAGTCACATAACAACAATCTGAACTCTCCATGAGCACCACTTACTGTGCTTATGTTCACAATACCACTGTGTATGAAACGGAGTGCTTTAATGGGGCGAAGTTAAGTGGTTTAACTTTACAGTATCTTTTCAGCTCTGTAAAGTCCCAAAGCATGAGGCGCTCCCTTACTTTGTTCAACAAATATTAAAAAAAATAATCACATGAATGCGAGTTTCCAATGTCAGGAAATGGCGTTCCCTACAATACAAACAAACTATTTCATAAAACATTACATTTGTCAATGCAAAGGTAACATTATTGTTCCAGCAACTAAATTTATTTGTACTACTACAAATAAATTCCAGTAAAGCTGCTGACATCTTGTTTTGTTACTCGGCTGACTTTGTTTCGTGGCTTTGTGTTAAATTTCCATGAAGAGCAGGCCACTGAGATCTGATTACTCCAGATAGATTTTACTGCCAAGTGGGAAAAGGGCTAAAGCTGTTAACTTGGGATTGACTCAGTCAGGGAGAGTGTTGCTGGATCTGAACAAAGACTTTAATAACTTCCTTTTAATAAGACAAAGCGATCTCCTCCTTCTGTAATAATGCCGTGTTATATTCCGTTTAATTGTCTTTCACTATTTGAATATAGTGGGTTTTTCAGAATAATTCATGAGCTGATGTCAGAGTCATCAGTACGAACGGTGCAGGAGGCTGCCATCCGCAGCGGGTAGTAAGCGATTGCTGAAGTACAAGTGTGCTCTGCTTACCTCCGTAGTAAAGTCCTGTAGCTGTGCACATTCTCCACTGACCCTGGTACATGCCAGGAGAAATGGGGCTGTGCATCTGCACACTGACATCAGTCATTTCCTGGGGATCGAGAGAGCGCACCATCACCATGTTCACATGGCCAAACTGATCACCTCCCACGTACTTCAGAGAAACCCCAGGAGGCCATGACTCTGGACCTGGAAGGCACGAACACAAACAAGAAGCTCACATGGTTGTATTTTTACCCTTTAGTATAAAACGGATTTCTAGAAGAAGTGTTTCATTTCAAAAATCCACAATTTTCCAGATTCAAGCGTCTGCATTTTTTTCCAACAGTTTCAATAGGATTAAAGACATTTGAGCACAAAACACTTACCTAGTTGGGGGTTTGTTATTTGTATGTTTCAAAAAAGAACAATAAAAAAAAAAATCTGGCTTCCAATTTAGCAGAATGCTCCTTTTCTTGGTATAATGGTGTTTGAACACTGCCACATATGCAGAGGCTGTTTCTGGTGGAGGCTTTTGTCTTGTGAAAAATTTCTAGTCACCATGTGCTTGCTCAGAAGAGAGATTGCTGCAAAGTCAGTAGCCACTGAGCTTCTGTTCCTTTAATTAAAAAAAACTTTTACCAGTTGGCATTATAAAATAAATGTCACTCTCCTGCGCAATAACTATTGGGAAAGGAGTGTATGTAATTGGGCTCTATTAGATTGCTTTAATTATATATTCCTGGATATGCATAGGACCAATTTGCCTAGTAAAGTGCTTAAGATTACCATTTATACACTATTACCAAGAAATTGAACAAAATGAAAAGTTATCTGTGAGATTTTCCTTTGTGGAAAAAATCTAAAAATATAATCATAAGATTTTTATCTCTTAGATTAAAAAAAAAGGAATAAACTTTGAAAACACAACATTTTACCATTATTTTTCATGATTTCCAGACTTTTCAAGATAGCATGGGAACTCTGTAAAAAAATAACTTTCATAAATGGCCCAGCTGGCTTACCGGTGTTCTGTATCCTCCAGGTTTTTGTGAATGGTGTGTCAGGTGGAACGGATTCACCCTCACCAATCGTCACATCCTTCACAAAGGACATGCAAGGTGCACTGAAGTTTGGGCTTTCAAAGTCGTAGTAAGCTCCTATGGCAGCCTGCAAGTTCCTAGAATGAAGAAGGAGAAGAATGGCAACAGACATCAGAACAGATTCCTGCACAACAAAGCATATATGTCTTTTATATTTCAGCAGCAGTTCAAACAGAATGAGAACATTTAAGTTAAATAAGAGTGAGCTAAGTTAACTAACCTTTTTTACATAGATTTTTGTTTTTATTTGATTTTAAAATGAGTTCGAAGTGTTTAGCAGCCTCTCTAGAACATACTCTATCTTTCATCTGATGTCTACCAGGAAATGCTTAAGTCACTCTGAGGACTTAAACAGGTAAATATAAAGAAAAACAATTAAAAAAAGTTAAAGCTTGAAGGGCAGAAAAAAAAAGCAATTACTGCTGAAAAAGGCTAATTGTAGTTTCCTAAAATCAACTAAACTAACAACTTCCACAAATTTTCAAATGGTCTAAAATACATGAATTGAAATCCTTCCAAACTAGCTCTACGTTTAGGGTTGTCCTCTTGTAGGAATACAAAACTTGAATTTAAAATGTATTGGTCGTGAAGTGACAAAATCTAAAAATGTAGAAAGGTTATGAAGACTTCATTTAAGCTTACGTCTTTTTTTGTTCACATAACGCTATATTCAGGCAGGTGTGTGTTTTAAGGGAATTTCAGAACAGTCAGTCACACTCTTAAGCACATTTATTTTCGTTTTCCCACCATTGCACTGCGTAGTTCACTGTTATATTGAAAACAAGCCGCCGGAAGTCATTCAAACAGCAAACTAAAATAATTCCCCTGATATTCTCAATGGGAAAAAAAAATCGATATTAAGCTCTCAATCATATTGAAGGAGTTTAAATTTTACTCAGAGTATCTGGCGTTGAAGGCAATCTAAGCAGCGAGTGAGCGCTTGTAGATTATGTAATAAATGAGGCGATTACTCGGGTGGCATTTGAAATAGATATGCCCTGATGTTATGATCTTTTGAATATCCAATTAAAAGCCAAGAGGTTTTGGATTATGTTCTCATTACACAGCAGAATAATGTAACGCAATCAGTATTTTAACAGACATGCAAATACTGCCACCATCTGTGTCCCTGACAGGCAATCAAAAGTCACACACTGACTCAGCTAGTTACGTTACTACGACGTCGTTAACTGTCCCTGGTAATAGGTCCAAACCATAATGTTCCTTGTCAACTAAAGTAAGCTAGTTTCATTACTTTTATTTTCAGTTTCCCTTTTTTAGATTAATAACCTTTGTGTAGCGAGAAACGCAGTGCAGAAAGCTAGCTACATGTCTGTATCTTTTCTCCGACACCCAGCGCATAGCAGGCCGTAAGCGAATCCCCGAGCTCACCAGTTGGTCATGTCCAAGAAGAAGGCGCATCCGGCGGGATTCAGCTGAAACCCCAGGAGCCTCTGAAATTCCGATATTAAAATGTCTTTGTCTGTTGTTCCCATGCAGCTGAATTTCTGCATGAGCTCCTGGTCCAGGTCCAGGTCCATGCCCTCCATGACGGATAAGCCCGGGGCAGAGACAGGGGGCTGCGATACTAATTTACACCGAGGCCTCGACTTGTCATAACAAACTCCACAGCAGGGCCGAGTGCGCATGTCACATGACTGAACCCTGTGAGTGAGCCAATACAGAAAAAAAAAGAAAAAAAAAAAAGAGCGCTGCTTCACATTGTTGACTATTTTCACTGTACAAATGACATGTAACAACGATTATTCCTTTTAATAAAATCATAGTTTTAAGTGTATGAATTATTAAAGAAATGAGTAAAATATCTGTATAAGTCACAGTTAGCTGATTTAAATTATGAGTTTATAACTGGTGTGAAAATTTATGTCAATTTTTTTTTACTTGTAAGTTGTGACATTCTCACTCAGTATTATGTGGAAGATAAAGAATTGGTTCATCCAGGAAACTGACAGAGTTAGGTGTCTTTAATAGTCCGTAAGAGAAAGCAGTTCATTGTGTGGAACATTTGTTTTTTAATTAAAATCATTAAATGACAATCCTTTATTAGATGATCTGTTTAGCATCCTGATTTAGCAAAAATTGAAATTATTAGAAGACATCAGCGTTAAAAGTAACAGAAGTACAAGTTTAAAATATATAACTCACATCAACTGTATTTTGACTTGAATAATTTAAGTAATTTAACTTTTAGATGAAATTCTAACATATTTGGTTCACATGTAGGCAAAGTTGGCTAGAATACCCAAACATTATATTAAAATAAGATTAGCAGTACTGGTTAAACAAGGCTGAGAACTGTAACTGTACATTAATATTTCAAAATCATGTGGTAAGATGGACAACAATGTAAAGATATAAAATCCTGGTACTGAAAATATTAAAATGAAAAATACAAGCAGATAATAACAAATTTTAGGCAGAACAAACACTTTTGCTATTATTTTTTTTCAATATATGAAAATGAGACTGACAATAGGTAATATGTACATGTTAGAACAGGAACAATGGTGTTCACTGCGTATTCATCAAAATGACAACAGACTCAGCAGACAGAAAATAATATTTAAACAACAAAACTTGTGTACAAGCAAGAAGTTTAATTTTATGAATGGTAAATGCATCTACAATGAGCAACCGGCAGGTGGCAGCATTGTGTCGTAACTGTTAAGATGTTGTTTTTTTTTTTTCTCATCACTTGAGCTTCGTGTACGTGGACTCGCGTGCGCGTGAGACTGGGGTTTAGCTACCGTCCAGTGTTTAGCGAAGAGGTAACACCCGCTAACAAGATGCACAGTTATCGCTATGTACATTATGGAAGTAACTGACAGCTAGTGTATGCCTGTGCAGTTAGAAAAGCCACAGACATTGTTCGCCATAGGCACTAGCAGCAGAAATGGCGGGGATTATTAAAAAGCAGATTCTGAAACATTTGTCAAGGTAAGTGTTTGGTTTTCTGTTAGCCAGTTAGCCCATCTGTGTGATGGATGGTTGAATCGTCACTGTGGTTGTGCTTATAACACACCGAACGTAACCAGCCAGGCTGGTTACTTTTTAGCTCACAACACCCATTTAATAAACGGCAGCATTAAAAATAACAGTGGGACGACTTAACGGGGTCACGCAGCAGACGCCTCAACCTGCAGGAGAGCAGCACTTTCCCCACACATATCCATTTATTCTCGTCAGCTTTATATTGCCATGTTTTATGTGTCGACCTTTAATTTCTTAACCTAAAAATGTCTAAAATAATTGATTTTATCATCTCAGCTGTTTATGGTAAATCGACCTATATGTATTACATGTAAGTTACACTGGGGAGTAATTTCCTAGGAATAATCTGCTTTAGAAAATGATTCATGTAACTCTAAAGACAGTTTCTAGGTAGGTGCTCTGCTAAAATTATTTCAAATTCGTGCCATAGAAACGTTTGTCAGAGCATTGACTTACATCAGCTTTTATTTTGTGATTCCTGGTCCAAATAAGATTAAATTTTATGAAAAGTATTATCCATCAACATTTTCTTTAGTTTGTACTCCAATGCAAAGTTTCCCTAACTATGGTCCTCCATTACTTACCCTACTGGCACGTTGTAGATGTGTTCATGCTTTCACATACAGGCACAACCCGTTTCAGAGTTGGCATGGCTCTTCATCCAGGGTGTTTTTGTATTGGGAGCAGCACCAGTGCTCAGGACAACACAGATATCAGTTGCACCCCATATTAGTTATCTGTTGTGTAGTGGTATGAGTATTCAATAGGGATAGAATCTAGGGCTTTAATTTTTACATCATGTTGTTTTTTGTGGCATTTTTTATGCCTGATTATTGTAAAAAAAATATTTGCCATAAATACACAATTTATTTCTAAAAAGAATGATAACTCTCAAGATTAACTGAAAAATGGCATTTTGAAATATAAAAGATGTGTCAGACCCAAACATACCAGGTTCATAAGAATGAGAAGCCTAACAGATTGTCTTTAAACCCTGCTGAAGCATGCTAATCACCTGCCAATTAAAATCAGTAAAGACGGGAACAACCAAATCATGCAGGATAGTTTAGCTCATGAACAAGGGTTTTAAAATTAATCTCTTCTGAGTTTTTGTGTTCAGGAGCAGATTTTTTTTTTTTTCTCCACCTGACTTTCAGGAGAAAGAAAAGTGTTACCATGGTGTGCTAGTGTTCCCCTTTTAGCTCTAGTTTTTGCATATTTTACCAGCTGGCAGTAATTAATCAATTTGTGGTGGTTCTTTCACAGGTAAGAGGCCACAGTAGAGGGAGGACAGAGACTCCAGCTTTTTGTTTCAGTTAATATAATGTCAAACAAAGTTAGACTTTTTTGTTTGTTTTTCATATTTACCTAGTTCTGTTTTTTTTTCTTTACTTTTTTATGAGCTGTACTGTTCTTAGTTTAATTCAACCGTTGCTCTTTTTTGGCCAAGTATATACAAAGACTCCTTTCTCCCTTTTGACTTCCTGAACGTTTCCAGCCATTAATTCTATGTAATCTCGTCTAGCAGAAGGTATTACTTAGTCAATAAATAATAGCTTCTTTGTGATCTTTGACCTAATTTGAGTTAAAAAAAAAAAGCTTACTACCAAACTGCTAAGCCAAGTGCTTACGATGTGAAAAAAACCTACACTGTTATGTCAGTTCATGTCATCATTGAAGGCTTGTGAAAAATCAACATCCTTTGGAATGTTTCATGCAAACTAAACAGAGTTTGTATGCAATTAATAATAGCTGGTTTTTTACTGCTCCACACAAAAGGACAATTTAAGCAAGATAAAATGATCTTGCATTGAAATCTGTATCAAGAGCTATGCTTCAGACAAGAAAAATGCCAAAACAGGAGTCTTGCCATTTAAATATTCCGAATTTAAAGTTGAAATCACAGCTTTCCTGTATTTCCTGTCTGTTTTGTTTATTTTTTGAATTTCACAGATATTTGAGATAGCTTTGTTTAGTCATGTATTTTAGAAAGCCGTTTGTGTTTCACCCTAAAACTTAAATGTATCGTCTTTGGTTTTTTTCGTGACTGGCCGGTTGTGTCCAAAGTCAGTCAGTCCTCAAACGCAGGTAATCTGCATGTTTTAGGAATGTCCCTTGTTTGACAAATTGCTAACTTTTTGAGGAGGTATTTCAGCTATTTGAGTCAGCAGTGTTTGACCATGTACACATATAAAAACTGAGAACTGGAGTTGGAGACCCCTGTGATGGACTAACACAAAATACATAAGTAACATCTGGAAAGTGTTTTGTGGAGACGTATTCTTCCCCACTAAGTCGGCGTTTACCACAAACCTCATTTTGCTGCAAGTCCTCGGCATATGTCTATCAGCTTTGCAAACACACCCAGATAGCACAGAATGATTGAAACAACATTGAATCAATGTCAGCCAGAAACATTGAATCAACGTTGAACGCTGG